AATGTATGCCTAAATGCTTCTGTGATCCAATTTCAGGACAAACAGATAGACAGACACACAGACATAGACAGACAGACAGACAGACACAGAAACGTAGAGCGGATTTCATGAACCAGGATTTCAGCGAAAACTTCTACCTCCCTCTTCTAATTTATAGATTTGTAGAGCCGTTTTGAGAGAACATATCAGTGAAACAGTAGAAATTTCAGTGCACACTCAAGGAGGTTTCAGAGCAGGATTTTAACTCAGAGGATGACGCAACGGAATAATTTCTGAACCACAGAGTCTATGCATGTCGGGACACTGGCACGAACACGGCACGTCTTAGCGTTCTGCGAGAATTTTTGCTCAAACCCACATCTCAGTTTTTTATCCAGTTTCACCTCCCTTCCACAAGCGATTGATCACGTTAGCAAACTTTCCCAGAAATTTTCGATGGTGGGCGGGAGAGGTGGAACAGACACCTTCGGTCAACTATCAGAAATTCAGCAACAGAGGTTTGCTGTCAGAAATAGCAGCGAGCTGCCGACCCAAGGAGGATTGGATATATAGGGCGCGTAAAACAGGGAAACAGCAGCCGACAAATTTTTCCTAAACAAGGTACGACCCCTCTCTTCTCCGGAAACCAAATGCGGCTCCTCGTGGGAATTCTTAATTTGCAGCGTGCCCTAACCATGAATCAATCTCTTAGTAAACAAGGTTCGGTTTCGGGATTCAGAAAAGCACGAACGTGAACGAATACGTAGAACTAGAATCAGTAAAGAGAATGTGGAAGAGGAGGAGGGAGGGAGCGTGCAGGGAGGGAGAGGCGAGGGAGGAGGCGGGGGAGAGAGAGAGAAGAGAGAAAGAGAGAGAGAGAGTTACAACTCCTCGAACGACTTCTTTTGCATCCCTAGCGAATCTTTAGGAGCAAGTTGCTGACATCTTCTATGGAGAAAAAACATACAGAAGAAAACAGCTCACGTCTTAAATAATCAATTATATCAGCACTGCTTTCGCCTTCCATTTGCCGTTGTGCAATTATCGATTTGATGATTGGTGGAAGTCGCATTCGAATGTCATGACCATAGTGATCTCCACACATCTCGATGGATACACGGCTAGAAAAGCCAACATAGGAGTTAAATAAAATTATGATGAAGAAAACTACTGCTAACGATAAGCAGCGCAAAGGAATGGACTATCAGAAGCTCTATAGGTAAAGTCCACAGTCCATATTATTCGAACAAGTCCAACAATCTTCTTGTTCCTACACTCTTACATTCTCTCTCTCAGAAGATGTCAGTTGGTGGAATGAGAAGGAAAAGGGGGGGGGGGAAGAAATGTTCTCCCACAATAAGTTGCTCGAGTAACTTCTTCTACATACAGGACCCCTCCAAAGTGTTGCCGATAACCGAGCAGAAGCCACTGATGAACAGAGAGCCTTAACAGAGGTGGTCCTCCATGAAATGGCCATCCGTAATGGAGATAAGAAAAGGTGGCAGGTCCAAAACCCATTTTTATATTGTGTAGGGAGAATAACCCAAGAAAATTCGTGTTTTCTTTCCATTTCGGCAGTTGGGAAAGAGATGAGGACAGGAATACAGTCACTTCGCTGCAGACGAAGGGTAGTGCAGGTGGGATGAGTTTTGCGTGGTGCCAGTGCGTTCTCCACCAGCTGCTGAAGCACAGGACTGTATTATGTCGCTCGTAGTAGTATTCTACCAGTCGTCGTCGCGACTGGCAGAGTTCCGCAACTCATACTGCCTGACACGCCCCTTCTTCCGCAGCGAACTAGAGTATAACAGCGAAGTTATTAATAAAATTCAGCGCTTACCCGTCAGCATGTTGAGTTCCGTGGATGTACGCAGTGCAAGTGTGACCCATACGATAAGGACCTACGCGATCACGGTCGCTACCTGTGGAGCTATTTGAGTTCACGAATCCACTCCTAAGAAAGTCGCGATAAGTTTGAAATAGAAATTTTTAGAAGTCATCTTCAAATCACCTTACCTGTTGCAAGCCATGAAGATGCCTTTTCCACGTTGACGTCGCTTCGAGCCTGACTTATGTCGAAAATGTGCGCCTCCTTTAAGCTCTAGCCAACGAACGAAACGCTGGAAGCGCACTTATATATGGAAACCCGTTGAAACTAAAAACCCACTT